ACCACGTTTCCAAGCACCCAAACTCTTTGCAAAACCAAAGTTCATGATCCCGTCTTTCAAAAGAGACAACGATCTGGATAGGTACATCGACTGGGAAGGAAAAGTTGATCTCATGTTTGCATACCATGACTACCCCCAACCTAAACAAGTTCCCCTTATCACCATGAAATTCGAAGGATATGCTCGAACTTGGTGGATGCAAACAAGGAAAAAGATCCAGAACTTCCAAATTCCAACGACCACTTCTTGGACCGACCTCAAACAAACCATGAGGAAGCGATTCCTACCAACACATTATACACGAAAAGTTAAACTACAACTACACTGACGTCGACAAGGTAGAAGTTCAGTTGAAGACTATTACAAGGATATGCATTTCTTACTTAATAGGGCTAACATAACCGAAAAAGAAGAGGTCACCGTGTCAAGATTCATCTTCGGCTTGAACTCAAACATCACTAATCTTCTTGACCTCCATGGGTACGAAAACCTTGAAGATACACTAAAGAAAGCAATGACAATCGAAGCACAAATCCAAAGGAGATTCCGATTTAGAGAACATTACGAAGGTATTTCATCCTCTTATGAAGGTAATCATTCCTCATCTTCTACTCCATCTTCTCAAAAAAAGCCAAGAGATGACAAGCCTGACAAGGAGAAAGAACGACCAGCAAAGAATGACACACTTCCAACCCCTAAAGATCAAATGATAATTTGTTAGGAGATAAGGAAAGCAAAAAATAAAAAGATGAGAAAGAGGCAAAATCAAAAGAGGTCACTAGTTACAAAAGCCAAAAGAATAATGACCCATGGGTGGTGAGTGAACCTAAATGTGAGAAGAAAAGAGTGACTCAAAATCAATGTGTGAGCATAAAATAATTGAGAGAGAACCTTCTTTACAAACAGCCTTCCATCCTTGTTCACTTTAGAGAATCAATTGTTTCGATTTCTAACATTAACAAGGATTTTCCTAGTGTGTTTTCATCTTTGTTACAAGATTTTCAAGAAGTGTTAGGTGATCCACCTAACGAATTACCACCGAAAAGAAGAAAACAACACCAAACCAATCTAATTCAAGGTTCCATTATACCTCGTCAAACATACAATATCGAAGAAACCAAAGAGTTAGATTTTTTACGAAAAGGCTACATCCAAGAAAGACTTAGCCCGGAAGCCATCTTAATGACAAAACATGATTTGAACAACTCCACAGGCTTTATAGTCGTGCACAGGAAATCCATGTAAATGATGAAAAAGTAAAAGCAACACGAGACTGGCCCACACCATCTTCCATCGTTAAGAGTTGTCGAATAATGTTAGGTGACCCTCCTGACAGGTTACCACCTGAAAGCCCTAATCACTATGCCATATCAATGAAGAGTCACGATTTACGGGAGTCCAAAGATTCGAGGATGAATCCTTTTGAGGAGTGGGGGAATGATACATGCACCAGGGTTCATAATACATGCTTCTTTGGACTAATGTTTCTACTCGAACCTATTAGAAGAACAAAGTCTCGAAGATTCAAAGCATATCTATTCGGTAAGTATAATGTGAATGAATCATTAAACGATTCTAATGTTTCTCCCTTTAATGTTTCAGATTCGAGGTCAAATCTTTTTTGAAGAAAGGGAGGATGATACATGCATCACAAGACTCACATCAAAGGAAGAAGTAATAACTCTTCCAAATGATCCACTCATCCAAGCATTGGAAAAGAATATAAGAACAGAAGCATACTTGCGACAACTTTTTGAATGGGATCCTGATCTTATTTGGTCAAAATTTCTTCTAGAGATACGACTATATATCTCTTATCTTTCTAACAGTTCTTGAATCGCATCAATCCGATATCGAGAACTCAAGATATGTCTATTTTACTGAAGATGATGCATGTAGGAAATCCTATACGGGATTAATACGTAATTTTGTAAATATTACGAATTTTCAATATTTATATTGATTATTTGTAATATAATTTAATATAGGATGAAGAATTATCTTTTAGGATCAGATTTATTATTTTATTAGGAATTAAGGTTGGGTTAAAACAATATTTTTAGTTATTATTATTTTATTAGGAATTAGACTTAAGACATGTTTAGTTTATTGTTATTTTATTCTTTAGTTATTTAGGACCTTTAGAACTCAGCCTCTATATAAAGGAGGCTTCATTCAACTTTGTAAATAAGATTTGTTTGATTAATAATACAATGAGAGTTCGTTTTTGCAAGTGATGATTGCCTTGTGCCTTCGAAGCTTCTTCTCCTGGAGTTCTTTCAAGTTCTTGTGAGGGAGATTAATCTTCAAACTCCAATTTGCCTTTTCATTACGACTAGGAGGGTTGGTTAGAGCCATATTATTGTGTTTTTCCTTTTTATTGCGACTATAAGGGCTCGATAGGACATTATCTATTGATTTTCCACATATCCATCCACGCCATCAATCATCTATACTGTTCACTTTCATAAGGGAGATCTTTTGATTTCTTGGTTATTTTTCTTTATTTCAATTCCTTTATTTTTTATATATCTTGTTTTAATCTTGTTTCTTATCTTGTTTTCAGCACCAAAAAGAAACCCTAAAGAACCCTAGTTATTATTATCACCTTCCCCATTCATCCCTTATTGTTCTTAATCGAGTCTAGAGCTTTTTCTAGGTTTGATTCTTCAACAAGAGCAATGTTCATTAATCCGCCACCGCTTCCCTATCAAAGTCAAAGACTTAGTGTGTGAGTGTTTTCACACGTACTAAGAAGATAGGAGATCAAAGCTAGGATTGGTCAAGACATCATATCTCTACTGAAGATCATATCAGAAACGATTTGAACAGTACGTTATTTTGTTATACTAAATTTTGTTGGCATGTAATTAAATGTTTAAATCAAATATGCTTTGATCAATTTTTGTAAACATACCTTATTTTATTTAGGTAAATTATTAAGTTTTTTATTTTTAATTTAAGGTTGAATTTTCATGTTTACTTTAGTTAAAGGGTTCCACCATTTTAAAATACAAATAAATGTTCTAAATTTTTAACTACTTTTTTATAGTCAATTATTTGAAAAGTCAATGTGACACATCGGATTCGTATCCGGGTCGGGTACGAGTTGGGGGGTGTTACGTTAGATTAGTCGGTGTCAAAGTGCTCTAGCTCCATGAAGAGGTAGAATGAAGAAGAGTCAAGGTGAGGTATTTTCATTGAGATCATATCTCGTCTCTATGTCATGTTCGATAAGTTATATAAGGACTCATTACTGCATGTGTCAGTCTTATAGTTATAATGGTTGCTCGTAAGGTGATAGGCTAAGTGGATACAATATGGTGGTAGATTTGATTCTGGTAGATCACATGAACCTATCAAAGATTATGTCAATAAATAGTGATTTTTCTAGATTCAGATCTTCGAGATTCTTCCTCTTGAGATGCTCTCTTTACGTCTTTGAGAGATCCCTTGAAATTTAAGAGTGTAAGATGTTTTAAAATCCTCCTATAGTTATGAGGCACAAAGATGATACATATGAAAGATCTTTAACTTATACAACATAAATAAAATAAAATGTATATATATTTCATTTTATATACCATAGTAAGTATAGTTTAATCTAATATATATAAATGAATTTTGTATTCAAAATCTCCAAACGCGTGGTCAAAGTAATTTTGGCCGTTAAGCAAGAAAATAAGTGCGTGGATAATCGTCAATGAACACAAGACCAAGCTACCGCGTCTTGGCAATTGGCATCCAACATGAGCCGGTTTATTTTAAAATAGTCATTACCGGTCCGAACAAACATTATTCTCCAAATTACCCCTACTCAGAGTTTCCGACCCCACTAATTATTTCCTCAAACTTGAAGAAGCTGTGGAAGGTACTCGAAAGATGAATTAGTCATTGTCAAGCAAAGCTACCTCTTCCCGCAATATTAATTAGTTATCACGTAATTTAATTTATTTATCAATAATTGCAAAATTAATAATTTTTTTTAATTAGTGTTATATCCTTAGAAATGTTCTCTAAAAATCTTTCGGATTTGTCAAAATCTTCAAACAAATCTCTTCATTTATTAGTGTCTTCAATTAAACCACACCTTTCAAATACAAATTTTTTAATAACTAAAGTGTATAAATAAGATATCTGATAAATTTACGCGATACATTAAAATGAAATTTAAAATTTGACTAATGAATCCACATAGTTTGTTAATCTAAAAATAATTTTACAGCTGACACGTACTAAAAGTTATTATAAATATCTCTAATTGTAATTGAAAAAAAGAGACGAACCTCATATATTCTTTGTCTTCAACTTATTTTCTCATAATCACTTTTCTCGTGCTGAAAAATATCGACAGATAATCAATTTTTTTATCATTCATTACTTTCCGTTCAAATTAAAAAAATACATCACCAATAATCAGTTAGATAAATGTATTATAATAACAATTAATATTTAATTCAACTTTAAAAACATATAATTATAGCTTTTAAAAAACTAAAAAAAAAAGTTGAAGAAGATGAAGAAAAAATAAGTTGTAGCAAATAGGGGTAAACGTTTAATTAAGTTGAGTCGAGTCATTTTTTTTTTTTGAGTTATTCAAGTCAATGAATCATATTTTATAATTAAAATTTGATTTAAATTTTTTTAATCAAATCGATTTTATATAAATCGAATCGAATTAAAATTTTGAATTTATATAAATCAATTTAAATCGAGCTGAAAAATCAATTTATCAGATTAAATCAAGTTTTATTCGCCTTTAATAATGTACGAGGCGTCGAAGAAAAAGAGAAAGGGAGTTTCACGTGTCCGTCAAGCCAAAGCTACTCGGCTTGGGTAATGGCTCTCCCACTCACACGTGTTGACCAACCCATTTCCCCACCTTTTAAATACCGATTCAACCCCATTAGTTGCTCACTTCTTGCTTATTCATCACCCAGAATTCCAAAAAAAAAAAAACAATAATTCATTTCATCTGTAGATATCGAGGAAAAGAAAACCTCAAATTGAATCGATTTTATCCAGCTCTGGAAGAGAGTAACAGCTTTGTAAGGGGCGGCGGTTTTGTGTTTGCTTATGGTAATCGTCTGAGAAAACGAGAAACAAAGATGGTGGCGGAAGCTGAGGTTGTTTGTCAACAGAGCGTCCCGGTGTTGGACGTTTCTTTTTTCGGTAAAGGAAGTAACATCGAGGAGGTTGATGAAATTGTCGCGATTTCCTCGCCCAAGTTCGGGAAACTTGCTGGTGTCGATTGTGTTACCGCCGATTTATCATCGGCCTCTCATTTGGTTCGTCTTCTCTCTCTCTCTCTCTCTCTCTCTCTCTCTCACCGTTTTCGCAGTTTTTATGTTTTTAGAGATCCTGAATTTTTAAAATTAGGTTGAACAATAAGCTTCTTGTTTGGCAGGGATGAAACTATAAATTTTGTCTTATTAGGATCAAAGCTAAAATTGTGCTAAAAGGGTTTAAAATTAAATTATTAAATTTTTGGGAGGGTTAAAAATGCATTTTCCCCATTTAACAAGGGACTAAGAAAAGTTTAAATTGAATTATTAGCTTAAGTTCCATGCTATGTGTTAAAGATGGTAGATTTGTATGGTTGATGACTTGGATTTTGTATGATTTGAGATTTCAACATAGATGGATAGAGTGGGGCAGGAGGTAATTGCATCATGAAAATTTATAATTTAAATACTTTTTTGTATTTTATATCGATAATATGTTTTACTCTTTCAAAATTTTATAAGTTCGTCTTTTAACATAACCTCGGATTTGGAAATAGAATAGATCATGGAATGTCTAGTTTTAGTCACAATTAAATAGAGAAATTTGCTATTTCAGGATGTAAAATCTCAGGAAAAAGTCCCTGATCCAAGCATTGAATCTATGATCCTGCAGTTTGTTCCAGAAATCCGATCGGGTAGCTTTGCGGATATCGGACCCAGGAGATACATGGAAGATGAACACATTAGAATAGATGATCTATCTTCACATTTGGGACCCCTTTTAAAGTTCCCAAAGCCTAGTGCTTTTTATGGGGTAATTTTAACTGTTGGCTTCTGTTGCTAGTTGCCACTGCCCTGCCTTGCCTTGCCTTAATCTGATGACTTTGCATGATTCAGTACTAACTTAGGTTCTGCTTTCCATGCAGGCGTTTGATGGCCATGGAGGCCCTGAAGCAGCCGCTTACATAAGGAAACACGTCCTTCGATTCTTTTTCGAAGATGTCGATTTTCCACAGACTTGTGAAGTTAACGATGTTTTCATGGAAGGGGTTGAGAACTCCCTTAGTAAATCATTTCTTCTTGCAGACCTCGCTCTTGCGGATGATTGTACTGTGAATAGCTCTTCTGGAACAACAGCGCTTGTTGCTATGATATTGGGAAGGTATTTAGCGTCGTGCTTTGCTGTTCATTCACTCTAGTTATCTTGATAGTTGATTTTAATACTGGTTTTTCTTATGGACTTTTAGAGTTCTAATGGTGGCCAATGTTGGCGATTGCCGAGCAGTTCTCTGTCGGAAAGGGGAGGCAATAGATATGTCCGAAGACCACAGGCCTATTTATCCATCGGAACAGAGGAGGGTTGAAGAGTTGGGTGGGTTTATAGATGATGGGTATCTGAATGGTGTTCTATCAGTTTCCCGAGCCTTGGGGGATTGGGACATGAAGTTCCCCAAGGGCTCTTCGTCGCCTCTCATTGCAGAGCCCGAGTTTCGACAAATGATTCTAACAGAAGATGACGAGTTCCTCATCATAGGGTGTGATGGGATATGGGACGTTATGTCAAGTCAGCATGCGGTCAGCCTAGTTCGAAGAGGATTGCGGCGGCACGATGATCCCGAGCAATGTGCAAGAGACCTTGTCAGGGAGGCCTTACGTCACAACACATTCGATAATCTCACGGTGATCATGGTATGCTTTTCTTCAGGCGATCAGCGGGAGCAGCAACCATCTCCTAGGCCGAGAAGATTGAGGTGTTGCAGCCTGTCCGCGGAGGCCCTGTCTAGCTTGAGGAGGAGCTTGTTGGATGCGAATGGGAATTGGTGAAAGTAAATAGGGTAAACCATTAAAACTGTTTATGGCTGCTTCAGTAAAAGCTACCAAATGGAAAGGCAGCCGGAAGTTTTGCAGGGGATGTTTATGTACAAAGGCCTTCATTGTTCATTGCATGTATATATTATCGTAACTAACATCTCATTGTTCATTCCTGGTTTTTACGTTATTAATATTGATCACTAATATTTTAACAAGTTTTCATTTTTTTTACTGAAATTTCAAAATTAATAAATCGACGATTAATATTATCGATTTATAATAAATCAATTATTTGATGGTGATGGTATATTTATCTCGCTTATTAAATAACGTTAATCGTTCGACGTTATCAGCTAGTTCAGAGTTTATACCCGAAATTTTCAGCTTCTGTTTTGCAGAACGGTATAAACCAAAAAAAAAAAATTAAATTTTTGCTTCGTGATTTTTCTAATTTATATTAAAAGATAAACTTTTAAAATTAAAAAAAAAACATAAATAATTTTAAAAGAATAAATTTTAAATAATTTCTTTTTCTTAAACGCTTGCTTGCTTTCTCTTTTTCTCCACCCTCCCTCGGGGTTGTTTTTTTTATTTTTTTTTATTTTGTTAGTATGTGGTAACATTAACCTTAGTATTAATTGCCGTCGTCGATATTTTTTTGTCTCGTATCTTTATTTATTCTTTATTTTTAATAATTTTATATTTATGACACGATTTTCTCTATTTTTATAACACATTTTCTTTTCATATTGACATATTTTTTATTTTCTTTTTTTAATCATTTATCGTTTATTTTTCTCACGACAACGTCAAGATGGCATCCATTTGTTATCTCGTTGATTTTTCTTGCTTTGGACTCTAGAATTGGATTTGTATATGTAGCCTGCGATCGTAGATAGTTATATCTCGATGTTTGGCTCTGATTTACATTGTATTGGTGGCCTTTTAGTAATTTAATCTCCTGTTGTAGTTTGTTTGTCGTAGCATTCAGATTTGTTTGTATCTACTTTTTTGTTTTTTAGATGGGATTTTCACCTTTTCTCTTTGTATGGCCTTAATATGATATTGAGTGGCTAGTTTTTTTAATAATTTTAGGAGAATATCCCAATTAAGTGTTTAGTTTACAATTTTTATTGTAAATATTTATTATAATTTTGTATATTTTCTATTTCTTAATAAAATTAGTTGTCTTTATTAAAAAAATGAATTTTAGAGATAAAAATTAACTATTAATAGAAAATATAAAATATATAAAAAAATATATATAATAATTTAAAATTTTTAACTAGAGGATGTCCTTATCATTCTCTCGATTCATCCATAATTGTTTGTTCCCATCCATAATTATTTGTCCAAATTAAAAGATTTGAAACATCATTAGTAATACTTCTTATCCATGTCACGTAATAAACTTTTAAAAAAGAAAATTGCAAATAAACAAATAATTTGTCACCATAAATAGACATTATAAAATAGATATTCTTATTGATTATTCATAGGCCATAAGATCCACACATCTTGTGAGAAGATTATTGAAATACAAGCACACTTAGAGAAAAGAGACAATGCTCACTCATTTAGTTGTTGAGCTTGAAACCCAAACGAGGGTATCTCTGCCAAGGAAATGACAAATGGGTCCGGTCCCAGGCTTAACTTTGAGAACTCGAAATGCTAAATGCTTTGGGTTCCAATTCCATGTATCCTTATGGCACACCACCAACGCATTAGCTTGTGTACCATCTCCACTCACCAATGGAACTTTATATACAACCGTTTTGTTGATCGAATGACACATGAATACTGCACCTGTATATGTAGATGAACGTAAAATTTTATGTTAAAAGACGAACATATAAAATTTAAGGAGACAAAAGCAGATTATGAATAGAAAATACAAAGAAATTTTTAAAGGGGACCACTGTCCCTAACCGTCCCCCTCGATCCTTTCCTACCTGGATACTCCATTTTGTGACAGATAAGTTCATTTTCTCCCATATTTTCCATTCCCTTGACGATCGTAAACAATGGGTTCTTCGTCTCTTTCGAAAGCACACTCGATAAGAGCTGTATCTGTTTCCCGAGCTTTGAAACACTTGAATCTATGAAGGACTCGAATGATGTGGCGCAAAACTTTTGTTCTCCATCAATGGCTGCTCTTTCACAACCTCTGATTGTTTCATTCACGACGCCGGCTTCTCTCGTTTGAGGTTTTAAGGACAAGTTGTTCACAATTTCGGGTAATTTGTCACTTGAGAATGGCATAGTCTCGGCGATTTGATTAGGGAAAAACGGAGTTTTGTCACTTGTTGTTGCGAGCCTTGGTAGATTCACCAGCTTACCGGTTCGTAGATCCTCTTGGAAGAAGAAAGTAGTTTCATTTAATAAAGCAACGTTGCCCTCCAAAGAGATCGTTTCCCCTACATTTGGTATCCAAATAGAGAATAAAGGTAGATGAGATATGACTTGAATGTAAGAAAAGCATGCATGAACCCTAGCTTTCAACATATAAAACATGAAAGGTAAAACGGTGAAAGAATAATGGCATAATGTTAAAATTAATCCTCAACGTTTGTGAATGATCATTTTGACATATATTATTTTTTACAATATTTTAACCTTCAGTATTTCAATTTTTGGTTAAAATGGCCCATAGTGGATGAAAATAGTTAGTTGGCTAATGGCCAATACATGTTACTAATGTAACATTAGCCAATACATGTTACTAATGTAACATTTTTACATTGCTAAATTATTGATATGTCACATTTTATGTCACTCAAGAAGATGATGTAGTATGTGTTATATAAAAATATGATGTGACATGCGTCATATCACTCAAGGTGATGACGTGACATGTATCACGTTAGTAGTTGAGCATCACGTCATCACTTTGGGGACTAAAATGCTCCAAGGATTGAAGTGATCATTCGGATAAACGTTGGGGGCTAATTTTGACATTATACTAGAAATAATTTACTTTTGAATTCTTTAGAAGGGTCGTCATGTCCATCTCCATAACTTCCCCACACGTAGTTTGGAGCATGAAATTCCTTAGACGAGTGGCCATATCCACTTCCATAACCTCCCCTCAAGTAGGTTGGAGCATTGAAACTCTTAGGTAAAATATCTTTTAAGGCCTTTGGCATTGGATTGTTTGGGAACAATGATTTCCAATAAGCTTCCTCAGGCATAACAGCACCACCATGGCTCACTTGGAGTAAAGCAAACACAACAAGGAAATGAAATGCCATTGAAAGCTGATAAAAGAAGGTTGGTATTGTGGTTTAGGGTTTTGTATGTAAATGGAGCAACGAGGAACATGTATTTATACCCCCATGCATGTATGTTGTGTTAAGGATACCCAATCAAAAGTAGCTGTCAAAACCCCCATTCATTGTAATTATCGCATTCGATTACCCTAGAATTTGCATAGCAAAAGGAAACTATCTTTTTTTCCGAAAGAATATACCCTTTTTCTTAGGACGGAAGTTCTTTTTGACTTTTTAAATTAGTCATTTTATCTCTTAAACTTTCATTACATTCTTTAAATTGGGTAGCGTACACAATGATCTTCGATGATAGGATATTTCTTTATTGAGTATTTCGATTATTAAAACTTACAAAATAGTCCCCCGACTATAAGGAGTTGCTTTGTTAAGTCCATTGATTATTAAAAATTACAAAATGGTCACCGAACTATTCATTATGTTCTAAAACTCATCATTTTCTATTAAAAAATTAATGGTTGTCTGAGCTGGACGTTAACAGGTTGGCGAAGATATGATAGTCGTTTGAGATTATGAGATCATATTTTATCATAACTCAGTTAGCAGGTTAACGTCCAACTCAGACGATCGTTAATTTTTTAACGAAAAATGATGAGTTTGAAACATAATGAATATATGAGTGACCATTTGGTAACTATTAATCGTCGAAGGACTCAACAAAGCAACTCCCTATAGTCGGAGGATCATTTTTTAACTTTTAATAGTCGGGAGACTCAATAAAGCAGTATCCTATAGTAATGGCATGAATCAGCTTACCTTAATGGTTAAAGGAATCGTTATTATTCTTAAAGGTCATGAGTTTGAACACCAGTGACTGCAATGATGATTGAACATTCTTTGTCAAATGGTTGAGAGTATTTAGAAAAGTTAGCTTAATAAAAAAATGTAATAAAACACTAACATTAGCTCATACTTATTAAAATAGCAATGTCAACTATTTTGTCAAATTAAACAAATTAGTTATAAAATTAAAGAAATACTATTATACCTTCTTTTAAAGAAATATTTAATACAATGGGTCAAAAAAATTATTATGATGGAGAGAAATTTTATTACGATAATTTGAACTTCAAATATAAGATTTCAACAGGACAGTTTAACCTCTACTCGAAAGGGATGTTGGCAAAATGGATTAACTTTTAATTAAAAATAACTTTTAAATTAATAATATTTTATTATTTTAGTAGATAATATTAATATTTTTAATCATCAATAACACATATGTATTGCAGACGTAATTGTTCGAACTTAATACTTCTAAGGAGAACAATACTCTCTTCACATCACTTAATGAGTTCATTAAAAATTATTATTTAAACTAATAACATTTAATATTATTTTTATATTGATATATTTTTGTGTCATGTAGGACAAATACGCGTTACGTCAGATGGATTTTTGGACATGCAACGTGCAATTTTTTTTAGAACAAAATTTATTTACTTTTCGTATTCTGACCCTATTTTTTTCTTTTATCCTATTTTAGATCAATATTTAAGAATTTTGAATGATTTCTTATCACGTAAATAAAGATACTTTCGATTAAAAGTACGTTTTAGAAGTATGTTTGACGTTACGTACTTTATCACAAGAACATCAATCTCGAAATTAATCTAAATAGGTATTAATTCGACAAATTATTTTTTAGCATGATATTTTTTTTAACAAATTTTAAATCGAATCTTAATCTTATCTAAAGGAGAGGGGAAAGAGGGACTCTAAGGGAAGAAAAATGAGCACTTCTAATAGGTCTAGAACTCATGACTTAATAAAATATGAGAGAACAAAAGTAAACATCTTAACCAATCAATTAAACTATATTTGCTTTTTATTTTGATATTTATTTATTTTTAAAAAAAGACACCTTTGGTTAGGATTCATACCCTTTCTATCAGCTTTATTAATGGTGCTTGAGCATTATCAGCGCAATCAAATGCTCCATGGTGCTTCTCAATTCATGAAATTAACTCAATTTGAGCAATGGTTTGTCTATGAAATTAAGGTAGATCAAATTATCAATATTATGGATAAAAAATTCTTTTGATTCTTGTTCAAAAGTTCTGGCCGAGAAAGATAAATAATAATCAATATATTAAGTGGTTTTAATAACTAAATAACGTATTATTCTCTTTAAATGTCTTAAGTTCAAACAGTCGTATTTTACAGTATGAATGTGTATGCATTATCAGTTATTAAAAAATTCTAAACAAATATTATTTTATAATTAGTTAAGATTATTCAAAATAATAATAATAATAATAATAATAATAATAATAATAATAATAATAATAATAATGGTTGACTTGTTTTGTTTCTTTACAGTGCTACTTTGTTTTTAGATAAGATGTTATCTTTTAGCATAGCCGATTCCATAGTTGACTTTTGAGATGTAAAAAAATATTTTTATATTTTGGACAATTCTGATTTTGATTCTCTTCTTTTGGATTTTGTATCGTTGTCTTCTTTCGAGATTTAAAAAAAATTATATTAAATTTTTTAAAACAATATTATAAATTTGAATCCTGAAATCTGAAAATTAAGTAACTTAGGTTAAGAGAATCACTTTATAATAAACCTTTATAATATTTAATCAAAATTAGATGATAAATAAAATAAATACTAATAGTTAACAAATCGTTACTTCATTAAAAAAATAACAATATCTTGCATTTCTACTACATGCAAAAAAAATAAATTAAAGCATCCCTTCCCTTGTTAACAACTTCCTCAATATTAACAATATCTTAGTTCAATTGTATTTAAATCCTCGCATAAAATATTTGTCTATAACTGATAAGACTATATGTTTAATTTGTATTAGTGTATATTCTTGTACACGTCACATGGACAACCTGGTAAATTTGTGATAATTTAAAATATTTATGTTACACGATTACATGTCACTACTTGATTTTTTTAATACAATTATGTATTACTTCCTGCTAGAGAAATAATGTGATATTGAGTTCGAGGAAACTCTACCTGTAGAGGTAGCAGATGGGTGGTAGTTAGGACTTACTAGCCCGTATTTGCATTTATCATTCCTGCTTGTTTTTGTGAGTTAATATATGTATGTATCTTATTCTTTGGATAAATTCTATTACAAGCGCGATCTGATTATTTTACGTACATAGAGACCACACTGAACTTTATAACTCATTCCATATTTTCTTTCTCCTCTCAGATTGTCTTGGCACTTCATATCTCATAATAGGCATTGTTCGGAGATTCGCGTACTTTTATCTTATTTTTAGAGTATTGTATTATTTTCAATTTATGGCTTTGTAATTATATTAATGAACTTTAAAAAAAATGGACTTAATTTTAAAGTATAGTTGATTTTAAAATTACGTGACATCCCAAATTTAGTCGTAACGTCTAAGTCGAGTCTTGAGTGTTATATTTAATGGTATCAAAGTGCGATCTGAACTCTTGGATTGTATAGCCTACCGTAAGTATTTCTGAAAATTGATTTCCTAAACGATTTTCAATCAAATCATATATTCTTACTGTTAAACAACAAGCATATTTTTGAAAAATATATTTTTATAAAGTGTTTTCTGAAAAATCACAAGATTCTTATGCCGATGATATCATTAACACGTTCATTAAATATATGACATGATAAAATTTATTCATGGATAAACTATATAAAATTTAGAATAAAATAAGATAGAACATAAACACATGTAAAAAATAGTTAAAATATAATTAAAAAAAATAACATAAACGAATTATTCTCGGATAGCTTTTAATTATAGTACTGGCCAGATATTTTTCAACCATGTCCCTCCCTTTTTCTCTTTGATTCACGAAAGAGTTATATGTCATGATACTAAGTAGCAGTTACTAGGGCTGCAATCTCAATTCAAGAGTAACTCGAGTTCGAGTTCAATTCAAAATTCATTTATTCGAGTTTTGATACGAGCTTAATAGAATATTATTATATATGTTCGACCTTTGTTAGAAACGAAATTGAACTATTTAAACTCGGTTTGATCAAGACATCAATGGACGGGTCTTCAACGTCAAGAAATGAGAATGGTGTTGCACGATGAGAGGAACGGTGTAGGGAGGGGTAGACAGGTTGCAAAGGGAAATGGTGTATATGAGTTCCCTTGATGTTGTCACTAGAACACAATCAGGAGAATCTGCAGTGTGCCCAATTGATATTAGTAAGGATTACTTGCCAAATTAACATATTTTAACCACTTCTTTAATCAATTCAAAACTGAAATTAAATTAACTAAATCATCTCAACAATTTGATTAATTAATTCGATTTTAACCAAAATTTACTCTCCCCTACGATCTAGTACGTCGACAACCGATAAGAAACGAACAATCGTTTGATTGCAATGAGAAGAACATATTGCAATGAGAAGAACAGGAGTCTTTGTCCAAAACAAAACAACACATTAAGAAAACCAACCGTTGGGTGTTGAGAACTATGTGGAGCTCAAAAGAAGGGAGCCCTTCGAGGTTTTCCCTTCCGATTGTGTTTTGGTTCCTCGATTTTCTTCAAAGACAATTTCGAAAGGAAAGGAGGATCGAAATCACTTGACTTCCTCTCAAATGCTATGACCTATTGATGCAATTCAATTAGATTTTAAGCAATCATTAATTAATTTCATAATGAACCCTAAATTATAATAATGTACCTTGCAAGAAATCGAGCAATAACGATACAGATCCGGTTCAGCTAACCTTCTCTTGCAAGTGTCGCATGATGTCTCGGTGTTCAATGTCGGACCACTATGAGGGAGAGGATTCAATGCTACAACCAGCCTCTTGTTGCACTTATACGGCTAAAATCCCACCACAATGATTCTTATAATAAATAGATATTATGTGATATGATCCGAATAAAAACAATATACGACAACGAAACGTAACATAATTGTTTCGTATATTCTTTCTTAATAAATAAAATGGTGACAAAAGGATACCTGAATGTGAGCACAATCAATGTGCTTCTCCAAGGAACCAAGAGAGACAACATCCTTGTAGACATGCCTATAGATTTTTAGAATCTTGTGATGGCGATGAGTGTCGGAAGAAGACATGCAATATTGGCAAACAGATGAGTCACAGTTGATACAGTATCGGTTCTTCTCGTTCCTCCGAATCGGATGATCCGAACAATCGTCGAAGAACGTTCTTTGCAGAAATGCTTCGATCCATTTCAGTTTTTCGTTTCTGTTTTGAGCAACCTGCTTTTTAGCCTTAAAAAATATTACAATCGAACACTCGAACACTATCAGTAGATTAGATTAAAACATGTTATCAATAAAATAACAGATAATTTTTAAAAATTGAAGTTTGATAATATAAAAAAAAGAATACGAGCTACAGTTGATTTAGATATTTTATGTTACCTGCTTGTCAAATTTGGAGGAAGCACTCATGGCAGAGAAAAATCTGACGTTTTTTTCAGTGTCTGATTTGGTAAGAACCTCAACATCGATGGAATCGAGGCTTTGCAGATTTATTATAAGGATGTTTAATTTCAGACCTCGGGAAAGGAGACAGTGTTTGTGTTTGACAGGCATGTGTTGATGTTGTAGTGGCTAAACTTTCTTTAATCACATGAACCAAAATTTTAAGATTCATTTATATTTTTGGTGCAATTAATAACTTATGATACTCGCCATTATTGACATTACACACTACGCCTGTAAACAAATCGTACGCACACGAACGGAGGTATGTTCATGTTCGTTCATTTAATAAATAAACGAACATAAACGAACACGAATATAAACAAACAAAAATTTTTTTGTTCATATTCGTTTATTAAAGAATATAACTTGTTCATGTTTGTTCATTTAATAAATAAACGAATATAAACGAACACGAACATAAACGAATACGAACATAAACGTTGGAGACCATACCTTCCATTGTTCTTTCATGAAAAATAGTCGACAATGCAAATCAACCAAATCTACAATGATAAATAGTGTAAGAGCTTATTAGCAGTGATGAAATGTTTGAAGATATCAAATATTTCGATCGATCTTTTAAAGATATTAAATGATTCATACGACTTTAATTTAACGATATAACATTTATCTTAGTGGTCAATGATTACATATGAACAATCATTTTCTACTACGTTATTCTAATAAATTCGCCGGCTAAAAGTTTTGTGACATCAATGTCAGACGTTAGTGAGATTTGTTCATAATGGTCCTTTCTCTTTAAATGAACGAGAAGTTCGTCCCAACGAACACAAAACCTTGTAGACGTAATTGTTTGAATCCAATATCTTAAGGAATAATAATAATCTCTTTAACTACTGAGGCTACTCAATTATATTTACAATAAATTAGTAGGAGATAAAAAATATATAAAACTCCCTAATTTTGTAAGATCAAGATTTTTCTTTTCGATGACTTTAATATTGTCAGGAGATGATGCTTAATTCCCTCCAACCTCCTTTTCCTCTTTTTAACATTATTACCATGATAAATTATAAGATATTATATATTTATAATTTTTTAAATTATTGACAATGCACATATATTTTTGTAGGTAAATACAATTGTTCGAATTCAAATTTTTTAAAGATAATAATATTCCCTTTAACAGTTAAAATTAATAGGTTGTTGTCATTGTTTTATTTAAGTATTTGTTAACAGGGGCAAACCCAGGGGTAGCCCGAGCAACCCCTCAAATTGTGAGGAATATTGATGTTGTCAACTTCTACAAGGCGTTTGAAACCGACCCCAAGGATTACGTATTTGCTGAGTTCCAAGGGTACGAAATGAGTCACTCTCTCTTGGACCATCCTCTCCAATATGAGGGGTTGAACCTATTTCAGTTAAGTTCTTATAGAAAAAAAATTTTATGCAACAAAATTGTTTATTTAGTGTTAATTTTTTCTATTTTTTTAATTAATAGAAGTGTCACCTTTAATATTGTGCAACCCCTAAAAAAATTTATAAGAATTTTTTGTGGAACCCCTGAATTTTTGTCCTGAGTCCGCCCCTGTTTGTTAATCAATAAATATTTCATCCTTTCGTAAAATATATTTACATCAAAAAGTGGTAATTCATTTCCTTTTTATTAAAAAAAAGAAAGGGTAATAAACAAGAGTAATTTTACATCATTTAACTATTATAATGTTTTTATTTCCCTTTTAAGAAAATTCGAACATCCGTTATTAAAATTAGGCGTTACAAAACATAAAAAGACGACTAAAAATGGTAAAGAAAACCAAACACCAAGTAACCATGGCATAGAGTTCATCTAATAATAGAAGTCGCATTGATCATTCGTGTGTATAAGTGCATTCAAGACATACAATTAATTAAAAAATATGTTAATTGATAAAAAAAAATTCATCATTATAAAATTGTATTTTAATCTCTCGTAATTAGGGATGTAAGTGGGGCGGATTTCGCAATTACTCGCCTTACTGTATATCTAATTGGGTGAAAGATATATATAGGTTTTGTGGGTAGTAGGATAGGGATAAGGAAAATAAATAAATTAATCGTGACTAATGAGATAGATGTTAGTACGACTTTATACATTTTTTATCCTCACTTGCCCCACATCATTGTCTGTATTTATATATTATATAAAGATTTTAATTTTATTTTTATTTTTTTGAATTTGTGTTGAAGTTATATTTTAATTTGTCAATTAAAGAATCAAGATGAGTTATTTTTTAAAATGGTAACAGTTGGAATAATGTCACATATGTGGTGAGAGTACGAAAGACATACATTTCATTTTTATAAAAAAATTGATTTATATTTATTTAATTGATACTTATAAATATATTAAATGAAGTTGGTAGCGGGACATATATAATGGGATTATGTGAGTCTCAATACCTACGTGGATGGTGGAATGGGATTATTTTAAAATTTTAAGTTGTAAGGAATGAATGATTTTGAATTTTGTACCCATGACATATCGAGGAGCTGGGAAAAAAAATAAAAATTCTTGACGAGAATAAGTATGGAAGGAACATCCCACGCCTAATTAACATCCCTATTTGTATACGATAAAATTTTAATTTAATTTTACGAATCAAACGATTTTAGTGGTTAAGGAATATCTGTTAACTCTTGAGGTCTTGGATTCGAGCATCGCGTATGCAAAAATATGAGTATTCATTATCAAATGATTGAATCTTTGAACATATACTAACTTACATTCATCCTGGATTTATAAAAGAAATTAATTTAATTCTTTGAAAAATTATAAAGTTATAAACTCTTTAACTTTTTAAATTTTATAATTTACTTTCGGCCCTTGAAGAAATTCTTAACTTGTCCCATAAAACAGTTGGATCTGACCATGGCTCAACCTTTTATTTCTTGTTTGAGTTTCATTAGGCGAATGCAACGGAAGTGACCAGCAATTGGCATTTTCCTCGGTTCATATCTTTTTCCCCTCTCGGTTCCTCATATTTTGATGGGTAAGTCTATCTGTAGGATTTTTTGTATACACAAAGACTCAAATTTAAGATTTGTTTAAACAATATCAAGTTGTTTACTACATGATTTTGGTGGATGAGTCATCAAGCAGATATTTTCTGCACACATAAAGTCTCAAACTCTAGACTAACTTAAATAATATCAAACTATTTACTACTTGAACTATCCTGATTCGGTTCATCATTTTAAAAACGTTAATTAAAACTACCTGCCGATGATGACAATAGGAAATGTTGTACCTCAATTATTCTGACAAAAAATATTTTTTTATTTATCCCAAAACCTAATCTAATTATATTGGTATGGATAATGATAAATACACTATCACAAATTAAAAAAAATAAAATACACATATTTATATGAATACAGCCCTAAATAAAATACAAATTATAAATAAAAAAAAATCATTATAGTGATAACAAATCAAGAGAATTATATAAGAATATGTCAAATCCTATAATCCTAATTATATATATGTAATTGTAAACACTTTAATTATAATTGAATAAAATTATATCATATATATATATATATATATATATATATATATATTCTGTTTTTACTTTATTTATAGGTAAACTACACATTTAGTACATAAACTATTACTTTTATTATATTTTAATATCTAAATTTTTTTTTTCAAAATCATATCTAACATTTAGTTTATGTTTCAATTTGATATCTCATTGTTAAAAAATTAATAGACTTGCTAACGTGACACTTTTTCAATGATGATGTGATATTATGGTGACACGTCAGCATCATTGTTAAGTATTTTACGACAAGACACCAAAATAAAACATAAACTAAATGTTAAGTATGATTTTGAAAAAAAATAAATTTTGAATATCGGAACAAAATAAAAGTTATAGTTTAGATGCCAAACAAGTAGTTTACCTTCACTAAACGAGTTGTAACACGAACTATTTAAATTGGATGAGATGAAGTTCAAAACCCAAACATATTCATGAACTATATATATATATATATATATAATAATTAAATATTTGATTATTTGTTTTTATTCTCAAAACAAGATTCCTCAATTAACATAAAATAGTCATGTGAAAATCACAGGTGACCTAAAATAACAAAATTTGCCAAATGCTATATAAGATAAGAATTTGGTGGCAAATATTCCCCCCAAAACATAAATAAATAAATAAAAAGTTTGTCGTATAGTGCCGAGTGATGCATGCATGCCTTTCAATTAAATATAGCAATAATGGTTTGTGTCTGATGGTCATACCACTTATTTGAAACAAAAATTATTAGATGACTCTAATCCTATATATAATGGAGTAAGAGAGAAGTAGGATAGTAGTTTGTTCCCAACGTTAGGTTGAGAATTTCCGTGGAAGACCTCCGGTAATTATGAATTGCCCACCGTAAAACTCAATCCCACGACCACAATATTAAAAGTCTTGCGCTCTACCAACTGAGTTGGACTGACAATTTAAAACAACATTTGTCTTATTTCACTAAGTAACTTGGTTTTTGTGCTTTTGTCTTATCTACTTTTGTTATTTCAAGAATAGTTATGAAAATTTATAGTTAAAAATTATATAATTGTGACATATTTGAATAATTATCTAATTTATAAAAATTCAGAGTAACATTATTTAATATTTAAATTATTAATTTTATTTTATTTTAATATTCTGTCGTTAAAAACTTAACGATAATGTTAATGTATTATTATAAGGTAACATCACATCATTAATGAAAAAATAGAAAAAAATATAATTTCAGCATTTTTGTTAATCTTTTAACTACGAGTTACCATATTGAAACTTAAAATAAAATGTTAGGTATGATTTTAAAAAAATATATAAAGTTTAGGCACCAAAATAGAACAAAAGTAATAGTTTAAGTACTAAACACATAGTTCACCTAAAATTAATTGAATTAGGTATAATTAAAAACCCTCGGTTATAATTTTTAAGTTTTAG